GCCCGCCAGCGCGCAGCCCGCGCAGCCCGCGCAGCCGCCCTCGACCTACACGCTCCCCCTCCTGCTGTGCAAAGTGTTCAGGTGGCCGGATCTCAGGCATTCCTCGGAAGTCAAGAGGCTGTGTTGCTGTGAATCTTACGGGAAGATCAACCCCGAGCTGGTGTGCTGCAACCCCCATCACCTTAGTCGACTCTGTGAACTAGGTAAGAAGTTGTTCTGTGTCCACTTTTCGTTCCCTCTGGCGCGGAAGTGCTGGTAGAGTGCCCGAGGGTATGTGTACCCCCCTTCTGGAGGAGACCTGGGAACTCAATCAGGGAAGGGACCAGGGGAAGCTTGAACATTCCTTGGTTCCCTTTCAATATTCTATCACATTTCCCCTTTACCCTCTGGAGGAGGACCCATGAATACTGCTTTTGCTTATAGTGAACAGACGTGCTGCAGAAAATGAGACACTTATTTCCGGGTCAGCAAGGGAATACAGAGCGAAGTGGGGATCACGCTTCCCCCGCACCCGGAAAGGCGTTGAGGTGTGTGGCCGAGTTGGATTCGGTCCAAGCCCGCCAAGCAAGGCTGGGAGAAACTAGCTATAAGAGCTGGAACGTCTCCTCTCCTTTAGTAAATAAGGACAGTCACGTGGGGCACAAGTGGCCCAGATACTGTCCTGGCCTCACAGCTTTGGAGTTTGGGGGCAGTGGTAGGATGGAGACCGAATTGGGTGTCCACTCTCAGCTGTGCCAGCTTCAGGGTGAGAAGGAAAAAACAGCCTGGAGAAGTTGGGTGGCCTTTCCTTTTTCCTTTATTTCGCATCGAAAAGCATACAATTAGTGGTCTTAGAACCCCAGCCCCTTGCAGACCCTCTTAATTGCCTTGGGGCCTGCGCTTCATGGCTGGGACCCTTGAACAGGTTACTATTCATATTATCTTCCTAGCTCTTCGATGTCTTTCTCTTTTTGCCATATCTTTGTGCTTAAGGTGGAGAGGGGCGTACGCTGCTCCCCTCAAGTCTTCCAAGTTCAGCAGCGCACTTAGGGTGCTTTTTCTCGGGTGGGCTGGATAGGAATCCCTAGTTGGGTGCGTGGGTGCTAAACTGAGCAACGGGGGCGGAGGTGAATTGTACTCGTAGATGTGGGTCCGGCTGGGGGAGCGGGTTCTGTACTTCTAGGATGCCAAGCAGCCCTGGGCGCCCCCCACCCTGCAGACTGTTCTGTACGCGGCCCCACCGGTGGAGTCCTGGCCCAGCCGGTGGTTTCCAGCCCGGCCCGCTGAGCGCGGCGGCGGCGGCGGCCGCAGACGTGGAGGAGCGGAGCGCGGAGGCTGGCGCCAGGCGGTCTCTTTTGTTTATCTGACAGCTAAATATCAAGGCAATCACCGCCTCGCGGCCCTGCCTCCAACCCCCACAGCTAAGACAAACAGTTGGGCTAAAAGAATGCCTGAGTTATCATAAGTTTCTATCTCTGTTTCTCATGGCTCAATCTTTATATTCTCTTACTTTTTTAATTTCAGAGTCCCCCCCTCCTCCTTACTCCAGATACCCAATGGATTTTCTCAAACCAACTGGTGAGTAGATGATTTTTCAAAGGTCTTTTCCTTTCTTAGAACCCTGGTTTCTGTGTCTAGCTTGGGGCCTGGGGTGGTGCTTGGCTTGCTCAAGGTAGTTACAGTTTCTTCTGTTGCAGGTTTGGTAGATTTTCCCTGTTATTGTGATTGGATTTTCCCCCTATAAAGATAGCTTTCCTCCCTCCCCAGATATATTTTACAACTTGTTCCCTTTTTATGCATTTGAACCGTGTGACGGAAGTTAGTTCAACTTTAACACATGGAGGCTTTTAATCCATTGAATGTCTTGGGAGCCAAATAGGACAGGTTGATGGAAACATTCTGAAGCTTTGAAAAGCTCCAGAAAAGTCTGTTGGTAGCGATAGTTAAATGGATGAGGAAAGGAGCGATTCAGAAGCCTCACATGGGAAGTCTTTACGGAGTGCAGCCAGTTCAGAGGGGATTATCTCTCCCTGTTCAGCCCCCTACGAGTCAGTTTTCTCCTGGGGTTTTCTCAGAATTCTTGGTAGAGAGACCATGAAAGTTTTCAGCATCGCTCTGCCTGCCTGTTGCTTTGTCACTTGATGGCTGGGGGCCAGGGCAGAAGCCCATTTGAGGCTGGCACCAGCCCTATTGTGCTTGTCTGCATTCAGCTTCTGGCTGGCAGCACCAGGGCCCATCCCTTTAGAGCTGACAGTGCCAGGGGACAGGGTCAGCAAAACAGATTGGGGATGACAGCAGGGACAAGTCCCACGTCCTTCTTACAGAGGAAGAATTACAGAATCAATCCCTGAAAGTCCGGTTTTAACAGGGTTAACCTTGTTTTGTTTTTTTGTGCCTGTTATATGTGGGGGTTATAAAAATACAACACTGTACATCTTTGCTTTGCCAAGGAGAAGGAAAGTGAGAAGGGGTAGGCACTAGTTAGCTCTTGGAACCTTCTGCTCCAAGAGTTTTGGCTGTTGCCCCCCCCATAAAAATTTTGTGGGGACATTGTCAGTAAGTTAAATACTTTACTGAATGTGTAAGTGAAGGCCCAGCTAGCCCTCCCTCCACAAATGCCACCAGTTCCCTCAAGTTGGGAAGGCGTTGCTGCTTGCCTGATGCCTGCATAATAGGTGGCCTGCAGAGTATGTGATATTTTGCTTTCGATTTACAAAACACCAGATAAATGGTTATTAATGGCAAGATAACTGGCTGTCTGTATTTGCAACAAACTTTGACTGGCATTAGCAAACTCTAAGGACTCTAACGTGCTTGAGTTTGTGGCTTAAAGAGTCGAGAATCATTCCAGGAGGTTACTTCTCCAGGGGTCCACTTCAGTTCTCTCTCTCTCTCTCTCTCTCTCTCTCTCTCTCTCTCTGTCTCTCTGTCTCTCTGTCTCTGGTTTTGTTTTCCCTCTGTATCTGGGAAAATGCGGGGAGTTAGCCTGAAAGAGAAGTTCCTGTAGCCTTAGAGGTGACAGCTATGGTAGATGTTCCCCTGAAGTCCAGACTCCATAGAAAAGAAGGGCCACGTGCTCTTGGGTTTGCAGAAGAGATACTGGGTAAATCTGTTTGCAAGATTTAAGCTGTCATTCTGGCAGGCCAGGACCTCATTTTCGGGGAGTGGAGTGATATATTTATTCATTAGCAAGTGTTGACATTAGGTAGCAAAATGTGTGTAAACAGAGAAGCCACAAAGACAGGAATGTGCCATTTCCAAGGAGGGGAGCCACCTTCCCCAGATCAGCCAATAGGAAGTGATTAACCTGCCAATCGGAAACCCTGGCAGCTGGTTACTCACCCCAAATGTTTTGCCTAAAACAAAGCAAGAAAAAGGACCCAAAAGCAGGCACCATTGTGTAAGAAAGAAAAGCCCCTGCAGAGGAGTGGTCAGGACAGCCCGAGCAGGCTCAGGGGACTGGTCTAGGGGGCAGGTTTTGCTAGTTGTGGTGACTCAGGGAGACAAATTCAGGGGGCTTTGCTGTCACACATTTTTCTCCCCACCCCATGAATGGGAAAGGGCTGGAACTTGGGGATTCAGATATTCTTTCCCAGCCCGAGTTTGAAGAGTTTGGTGTTGGGTTACATAGGTGAAACAGGAAATAGGGTTTTACATTGGACAACTGTTAGAATCTTAATGAGACAGCACAGCTGAGGGCATCCCTTTTGTGACATCTCTATTAGAAGGGGCTGGAACCTGGTGTAGTTGAACTAAGAGTCTTTGGAGGCTCTGGCAGGTTGAACTAGGAACTCAGTTTGTGATGGCTGCAGCCTCATGACATACCTGTACTAGGTCTACTCCTGGTTCTGTATATAAGTTGGCCCCAAACAGAGTTATCTGTAGGGAGTGTTGGGCATGCCTGGACCTTAGGACAAAGTGGCTGTGACTTGTGGACTTGGCAAGGTATGGAAGGTGTTCCCGTTTCCCCATCCCACAAGGAAAAAGAACTTTCTGTTTGTTCCTAGATCTCATTTTGTAGAGTTGGGATGCTTGAAGGTTTAGCACTGTATCTGCTCCCCTGAGGCTGGGGACTGGCTGCTCCTATGGCCTCTTCATGCAACAGCCTAGTTCTAAGCCTAGCAGAACGCCTGGCATCTTGATCGGCGATCTGGCCCTCTTAATTTAAGTCTCTTTAAGACTAAGCTGTACATGAGCTTGATTAAGGTCACTCATTCGTTTATTTCCTTATTGCTTCCCTCAGTCACTCTAGAAAGCAGTACCTGGGAATCTCAGAACTAAGTTGGCAAGAACCTTGTAAGTTCCCCAGGCTCTAGGCTGCAGTTTTGTTAGACCTGCTGGGAGAAGGGGGATGTGTGTTTGTCTTCCACAGAACCCAGGGCTTAATTAGGTGCTTGGTAATAGATGGTGGTAGAGGAGATGGGGAATGGCCTGGCTCTGCTGTCTGCCAGACTGGGCTCTGGGGAGAGGAGATAGTGGTGGAAGATGAGACTCTGATTTGAGAGATTTACCATTGTAGAGTGTTTGGGTGGGTGCGGATCTGGCCCACTTGACTTTTGTAAGCTAGGGAATAATAAATAGCTGGGGGCCGATCTAGACACCAGAGACTGGCTGAACCTGGCCAGCGCTAGGGAAAGAGGTTTAGAACTTGGTCGCCTGCTTGGGAATGGAAACTCTGGGGACAGGAGCTGAACCCGGGTTGTTCGGCTCCCTGGGTGGCCCCTGGCCCAGTCAGTGGCACTTCAGTTTACCTGGGTGCCTATCGAATGTGCTGCTGCTTCACAGGGGTGGTAGGGAGGCCTAATTAATGTGTGTAAATCCCTCCTGAGATCAAAGGCAATGCAGAGGCCAGAGCACGGTTCATAAAAATCACTTGTGGTTGCATCTTGGAGCTGGTTCACCTTTGATGTGAGCCAAGCTGACACCCTGACTGAGGTCTCCAGGCTTAGCCTTTGAAATACACCTTGCCCCTGGCATTCTGCCAGCCCGAGCTGGGGGAGTGGCCATGGGGTGTCTTCCATTTGGGGGGAGTGGAGGAGGGGAACGAGGAGCCAATCTCTAGAAAATGGTGGGGTAAGAGTCATAATTTAGAAAGAACAGGCTTGCGCCATAGGGCTAGGACCGCCCTTTCCTGCCTCCCCCCTCCCCCATTGTTTTCCATTTGATTATTAAGCGTATCCTGTAAAGCTGTATATTCTTGGTAGGAATTATCCTCTCCCCTGAAAAAATGAGGTTGTATACAGCCTTCTCTTTCCCCCTGCTAACCACTCCTCCATGTTCCCTCCCATGCAGAAGAGGTTCTTCTTTAATTTTTAAATGCATGCTGGGCAAGTGTTATATACCCAAGTACTCCGCCTCCCTTTCCTCCCCACTGGAGGTTTTGTTGAAGAGTGAATCTTCTCTCTGACTTTGGGGAAGAGAAGGCCTCAGAGGGAGGAGGGATCCTCAGCAAACGACTTCTGGGGGACTGTGTGTTGGACAGGCTTGGTAGTCACCTTCCCTTTGTCAGGGACAGGAGGCAATGGTTGTACCACTGAAGGGCTGCTTACTTGCCTCCAGACTTCTCTGTTGCCTACCAATGTGGCCAAAGGGGTATGTGCTAATGCCTGGTAGCCTGGGCTGGGAGAACTGGAGTCTGTACAAACCAGTGGAGCCTTTGCTTTCCCAGAGCCAAACTTTCTATGGGGACTTGGGAAGAAATTTGGTGTTGGCAGTGGTGCAGAAGAAACTTCCAGTTCCTGGGGCCTGTGCATTTGCGTTCCTGGGGACTAATGAGCTGTGGTTCGTGGGCGTTATTTTTTTGTTGTAATTGCTTGGAGGGAGGCTGTAAGGTCCCTGTATCTCTCTCTCTCTCTCTCTTTCTCTCTCTCGGGCCTGTGTGTCCGCTCTCTCTCAGCTGGAATTGTCATTGCAGTGAGGTCACTGCTGAGCACCTGGGAGGGAGGGGAGACGCAGAGGAGACAGAATCTGTAGGTTAAGGTCTAGTAAAGACAATGGAAGGAAACCGTGCCAGAGAGATTGTGTAGGAACTGGGGTTGTCTGGGCAGGTTTCCAGAGGTGGGTTTGGACCAGTCTGGAAGCAGGTAGAACATTTCCCTCCTGCTTGGTCCTTGCTGAGCTGACGGGCTCAGGCGATAGAAACCAGCGAGGCCACTCAATCCCTACATTTGTTATCTTCATTAAAAGGGAGAACGCTTTTTTTTTTTTTAAAGGCCACAGTGAGACCCTTGTCTATAGGAGTTGGAGGAAGGGGGCTTTGTCCCTGATGGGAGAAGAGAGAATAGGGTTGAGAAAGTACACTTCGAGCCTTCCTTGACCTTGGGAATTACCTGATCTCAATGGGAGAATTGTAATAGAAGAGAAATTCCAGTCAGTCTGTGATTGAGCCTGACTTGACTAATGATTAACTGGCCGCCTGGAGCCCAGACGGGTGACAAGGTGCTGTGGTCTGTCTTAGGCTGGACCACGAAGCCGAGTAGACCATTAATAATCTGCCTCGTGCTGGCTGTGAGTCAGCCCTTTGGAATGTGTGGTCTTTCTTTCATGCTGTTCAGTGTTTGTAAGAATGAACGCTGATTTTGTTAATAATTTATTTATTTTTATGTGCATTCATGTTCTGCCTGCATATATGATGTGTGAGGGCGTCAGATCTGGGTGTTGCAGACAGTTGTGAGCACCATGTGGGTGCTGAGAATTGAACCCTGGTCCTCTGGAAGAGCAGTCAGTGCTGTTAACTACTGAGCCCATCTCTACAGCCTCTGACTCTGATGTTCTTTTTTGCACTTATTCACCCCTCTCTCTTTCTCTCTCTCTCTCTCTCTCACTCTGCAGCAGCCTGTCCAGATGCTGTGCCTTCCTCCGCGGAAACCGGGGGAACGAATTATCTGGCCCCTGGGGGGCTTTCAGGTAAGATACTGTCCTTTCCTAGAAATTGCTGGAGGCTAAAGGAATGGGGGTGGCCTGTTGCCACCCCGACTGGTCTGGAATTGATCTCATTGTCATATGCCTTAAACTAGACATATCTGGGGTGACTGACTGTAGCGCCCTTCTGCCTGTTACCCTGTGGTCCTTCATGTGCCAGAACCTTGCCCTTCCCAGGAATGGGGAAACTGGAGTCAGCTGAGAACTGATTGTGCGTGAGACATGCTTTGTGGTTATTTTTTATTTTTACTAAGTTTTGTGTCTGTTCATTACTCACATGTGTTCGGAGGACAGCCTGTAGGAGTCGTTTCTCTCCTTCACCCTGTAGGCCCCCGGGATTGAGTGTACGTCATCAGGCGTGGTGGTGGGTGCTCTTATCCTGTGAGCCATCTTGCCATCCCTCATGGCTTTTTAAGCTGCTCGTAACTCCCACTTGTTAACTTTGGCGAGACCTTATGTGCGTGTGCTTTTATTTTTGCTCTTGTGCGCATGCCTTGAAGGAGACAGACCGCATTTATGGGGCACAGCCCAGGTGCAAGCTGGATCTTGGCGGACTGTGGGGTTCTGTTGCCCCAGGACAGGGGCTTGCTGTAGACAATAGGCATCGAGCTGGACAGACCTTCTTCGGGGCTCACAGACCGAAGGCCTGGAGAGATGGATCCAGGGAGAGCTGGGATTGGAGGAGGTACCCTGGGGAGAGAGCCTGTGCGTTATTGTCTGTCTCTGAGGACAAGAGACACTCTGGGAGGCAAGACAGTTCGTTTCTGAAGATGTTTTTGCTTCATTTCTCCTTACCCTACCATGGCACCACCATTTATTTTCTAAGAACTAGCCAAAGCCAGAGGGAAAGTCACCTGGGGTGGGGAAAATCCCAGGACCGTTCTGGGCACTCAGTAACTGCTGGCCTTATGGTCGCTGGCAGGGGGCCTTGGTGTAGCATCCCTTAGTGGAAGTTGTGGGTCCTGTGCACCCTGTGTTATGGGAAGGCTAGCTGTTGAAGAGTTGCCCCTGTGTGTGGTTTGAGGTACAGTCCATTCTGGACCCACATCCCAGACTTTCCCCTCCAGGAATTGAGCCTGCTGGGAAATGGCTGTAGGGGGACCCTTGTTTGTTTTGATTTCAGTGCAGTGTGTACTCTGACTGTTATCTGAGACTGAGGTTATTGTTTACTCAAAGCTTCTAATGAGAACTGAGCAGGAAAAGAAGGACCCCAGAGGGAGAAAGGGGGTGGGCCCTAGCAGGCCAACGAGGGAGCCAGTATGGCCTGGGAAGTCTGCATCTTTTGCTAAGACTGAAATGAGGTGAGAGTTCTCAAAAGAAGGGACCAGGAGAGAATCGGAGCAAAATAATAACGCATTCAGGATGCTGTTAACTTGGCTTTATTTATTTTTGTGTTTTGTTTTGGTTTGGTTTTTCGCCGCTCTATTTGTTAAGTTCTGGGTGTGCAGGGAGGAGCCCTGGCTTCTCCAGACCACATGAAATAAGCAAGGGAAGTGGTAGCTTTTGAAAGGGGCTTTTCGGAAGGCTTGTCCTATTGATAACATCTTGTCTGTCTCCTCTACTGGAGGAAATGACGATACCAGGCTGAGAACCACCACCAGCCTGAGAGCTGCTTACCACCCCACCCCTAGGAGCCAAATAGCATGACCTGGTCAGCCGAGCCCCCTTCCCTAAAGTTTTGCCAGTTCTAGAAAGAATCTGGGAAGCAGCATTCTAGTGCGCCCCCTCCCTGCCCCCTCGGCAATGGACCCCTTAGATGGATGAGGCTCTTCTAGGATGGCATAGTATGTCATGGTGTAACAGAACTGCAGAAAAAGGGAAAAAAAGAGGTCTCCACATGAAAAAGCGTTTGTTTTGAATTTTAGCTCTTGGTTTACTAATTCCCAAGGCTTCGAAGTTGGAGCCCTTTCTTCTTTCTGGATGCAGTTGGAGCCATGTATTAATGTGCTGGGGTGGAGGCTGTAGGAAGGACTTTTTGGGCTGATGCCAATGGTATGGGGATATCTTAGGGGAGAGGTGACAGGCACAGAGAGAAGCTCAAGATCCTCTTTGTTCTGGGAATGTCTCTTCGTGAGCCGAGCAGAGGCCCAGACCACCTCCTTTTAACAAAGGTGGTGCTAGGATTGTGTCTATGGACTAAATGTCTGCTTTGCTTAGATTGGAGTCTTAGGGAGCAGGGGTGTTGAATGAGGCGGTGGGGGGGAGCTGGGAAGGGGCTCCTGTAGTGGACCCTAGGATGAGGTAGGGCCGGAGCAGGATGGGCATCAGTCAAGGTGGGGGGCGGTGACACCCCCCTGAAATAACCTCTCAGAGTCTCTTTCACAGGCCCTGTGTGCTGCTTTCCTTCCTGTCCTGCCCTGGCTAAGAGCGGGCTTTAATGAATGGGGCTCAGTTCAGGGTGGGAGGAAGGTCGCCAGTGTGAGCCAGGGCTTGATTCTCTTGGCAAGGGAAGAAGGGAAAGCGAAAACAGCCCAATGTGAAAATGTGGTGCCTTGGAGTTGGGGGTGGGGCGTGCTCAAAGGCCTAGCCCCTCCTGAAATGCAGGGGTGACTCCAAGGCTGGCCCTTCCCTTTCCTGCACGCTTGCAGAGGGCCCACAAGAGGAAGGGGAGTGGGCGGGGACTGGCCCTGGGAGTAGCACCCTGGCTTCAGGTTGGAATTCCAGCCTTGCAGTCTGGCTCTGGTGGGGGGAGGGCAGGGGGACGGCAGGCCAGCTCCTTGCAGACCTGCAGTGAAGCACCACACCCCACCCTTACAAGTTTCCTCAGTCTGGGAAAAACGGGACATTTTTAGAAGGCAGTAATTTGGTTCCAGGAGATTGTACTTTCATTTCTGACAGCCTGCTTTCTGAGACAGATGGATTGCTGTGTGCAAGCATGTGTGTGCGCTCACACACTGCAGACAGACAGACAGACTCCTGTGTTGACACTTGAGCATTAGAGATGCCATGCCAACAGGCAGGATCTGAGAGAATCTGGGGCCCTGCTCTCACGAAGTTGTGTCCTGTGTGGGGACCGGTATTTGGAACAGTTCAGAACAGCAGTCTTGGTAGCCCACGTTCAGCCTTGTCTCTGGGCACTGACGTCTTTTGGAAGGCGTGCAAATCCAGGTCAGGCCCTTGCTACTGCTGCTTTGACGCGATTGAGTCAGGGAGACCCACCTTGGCAAGAACTGACATAACTGGGAAGCTTCTATAGCGCCGAGGGAGGAGACAGCCAGGATTTGCATCTGGGCTCTCTGCAACATCAGGGAAGACCTGCTCTCGCTTAGAGTCTTTGCACCCTCTCTCTGGAGTTGGGTGAAGGGGCTGCACGTGGCCTATGTGCAGTCTTAACTGGACTGATACTGATGGGGTCTCTGGAACTCCTGCAGAGAGCAATGTTGGGGCCTGCAGCCCTTCACAGCTACTTTAACTTGCAAAGAGGAATTCCCAGGGACTGGGTGAGGGGTGGGCCCTGGAGACTTGGAGCATGAAGGAGTCTTAGGGGAATTGAAGAAGCTTCATCGACATCTCCTGTCTATGCAATCATGTTTATGTGGAGGGGTCAGGGACTGCTGGGAGGGTGGCTAGGCTAGTTCCTTTGCTTAAGGTCTTAGATAGTTTTTGGTTTCCAAATTTGGGGTGGAAGGGTTTTAAGTCAGTACTAAATCGACCATAAGGACAAGTCTCTCTCCTCTTTGATTGCTGCTGGCATCTGCCTTAGTGTCTGAGGATGTTAAAAACACACCTATATAATCTGAAATGCCCTGGCTCAGTACACGGCCGACTTGGGCTCAAACCAAGTAGCTCAGGAGGATTGCTCCATTCTGGTCTAAGGAGAGCCATTCAGCTGAATTGTGAGTGAGTTTTTCATGTCTGGCATGAGATTGTGATACTGAGCTAGGAGTCCTGGGCCTCAGGTGACTGCTGTGTCCCCAGCAGTTCTGCCTCTTACCTGGTTTGGCTGTGGTTTCTAACACCCTGGGAGGTGAGGGTGGAGCACTCGCTGGTGAGCTCACAGCTGTCATAAGGATGGACTCGCAGTGACCAGCAGTGACCACCTGTTCCCTCCAGGCCACTGTGGGAAATGACAGTCTGGAAGTCCAAGAATACAAGTCTGGTCTCTTTACACCAAGTCAGTCTGCTGGCTCCAGGCTAGGGCGTCTCACCTGATGCACACCCACGCCCTGTTGTAGACCCAACCTAGGCAGCAGTAGGGCTGTTGGCGGGCCTCTTCTGTGGGACCTGAGGTCATGGGCCCCGCCCCTGGTGAACGACTCCCTGATAAACCTCTTTTGTCCTGGAAAGAATGAGGTAGTCAGGCAGGGGTTAAATGCAGGGTGACAGCATTTAAAATCTCTGGGGCAAATTTGGGCTGCTCTGCCGGCTAGACTAGATGGGCCGCTGCCTCTGTATCCTGTCCCCAGGCAGAACCCAGTCCAGCCAGCAAGTGGGGGAAGGGCTTGAGAAGGCCAGGCCAGGGTGGCAGTGGCTTTGGCTGTGGTTCTGCAAACAGCCTCCCCCAGCTCCCCCTTGGGCCTCTTCTCAGCAGAGCCTGCCTGCTATAGATGGCTTAGACTTTTTGAGGATTTCTGGGGCCAGCAACAGTGAAAGGAAGAGGTGTGATAGATTCATGAAAGGGTTTGACTTCTTTTGCCTCTTTTCCATATTCATCCCATAATAATTTCTCTTTATATGGTATTTCAGATGAAAGCGTTGTAGAGCGAAGTGTGAACTCTCACACACCGTAAGCAAGCGCCCCACCATAAACTGTAACCCCAGCCTCTAGGTCGGTCTTAGTTCACCTCAGTGTAGGCTTTGCACTTTGAGCAGCACTCCAAGTTGTCTTTTATTTAATCCCGGCACTTGGGAGGCAGAAGCGGTCAGGTTGGCCTAGTATATAATAGTGAATTCTAGTCTGGTCAGGGCTACATGGTGAGACCCTGTCTCAAAGAAAAAAAGAAATCTTTTAAAATCTTCAATAGCTAGTATGACAAGATAGGATG